GAAGTATATGGCTCATTCTGCTTCCTAGTTTGTTTTAATCAGCATCAAAAGAAGATGGAATGAATATACAGAGTCACTCTACCAGAAAGAATTGATTGACACTGAAAAATTTCAGTAAGTACCATATGAATAGGAGCTAATGATAAAGAAAGAGAAAGTGGAAGCTGCATTGAAAGCATTAGCAAAAAGTAAGGCCCCAGGAATTGATGAGATACCAATTTACTTGTTTCAATTAACAGAGGCAGCCTTGGATGCAATCATCAGTTTATGCCAGGAAATTTTGAGGATGGCTGGCCAATAGATTAGAAGATGTCCATATTTGTTCCTATTCCCAAGGAGGGTAATCTAACTGAACGTGGAAATTATCAAACAATATCATTGATATCACATGCAAACAAAATACTGCTGAAGATCATTAAAAAATGGTTGGAACAGTACATAGGTAGGGAATTGCCAGAAGTTCAAGCAGGATTTCATGGCACCAGAGATATCATTGCTGGTGTCAGATGGATCCTGGCTGAAAGTAAGGAATACAAGAAGAATGTCTATTTGTGCTTTATTGACTATACAAAAGTGTTTAACTGTGTGGATCATGACAAGTTGTGGCTGACATTAAAATAATGGGAATCCCAGAGCACTTGATTGTACTCAGGAGGAACCTATACCTGGACTAAGAGGCTGTCATGTGAACAGAGCAGGGGAACACTGCATGGTTTGATATTGGGAAAGGAGTGCATCAGGGATATATTCTATCTCCATACCTGTTCATACTACATGCTGAGTAAATTATCTAAGAAGCTGAACTCTACAAAGAGGAGTGTGGCATCAGGATTGGAGAGAGATTAATCAATAACCTGCATTATGCAGATGACACAACCTTGCTTGCTATAAGTGAGGAAGACTTGAAGCACTTGTTGCAGAAGATTAAGGGCTACAGCCTTCAGTATAGATTGTGTCTCAATATCAAGAAAACAAAGATTCTTACCACTGGACCAAGAAGCAGTGTTATGATGGATAAAGAGGAGATTGAAAATGTCAACGGCTTCATCTTGCTGGGATCTACAATTAACACCCATGGTATCAGCAGTCAGGAAATAAGGAGATGCATTGCATTGGGAAAATTGCAGTTAGGGACCTTTCCAAATTATTGAAGGGTAGTAATGTCACTTTGAGGATTAAGGTGTGTTTGATTCAGGTGACAGTCTTTCTGATTACTAGCTATGCATCTGAGACCAGGACATGAATAAGGATGAGAGAAAAAAGAATTGATGCCTTTGAGTTGTGGCATTGGAGAAGAACATTGAACATCCTGTGGATGACCAATAGAATGAATAGATATGTCCTGGAGTAGGTGCAGCTAGAGTACTCTTTGGAGGCAAGAATGATGAGGCTTTGCCTAAAATACTTTGGACATATTGCTATTCCTTGGAGAGGGACATGATGTTGGGAATCATGGAGGGTCAGTGAAGGAGAGGAAGACTCTCAACCAGGTGGACTGACAAAGTGACTGCTGCAATGGGCTCTTGTGTATCAGGAGGTGTGAGGATGGTACAGGACAGGACTGGGTTCAGATCTTTTGTTCATAGGGTCGCTATGAGTCATACTTGACTCGATGGCACCTAAAAACAACATTTTCAGCATCAAGAAGACAAAAATTCTCATCATAATATATGGAGAAAAGACTGAAATTGTCAGTTATTTCATTATACTTGGATTCACAATCCACCCCCTTGGTGTCAGCAGACAAGAGATGTATTGCATGGGGCAAATCTACTGTGAGGGATTTCTCCAAATTACTGAGGAACAATGGTCTTTATAATCACTTGCTGTGGCTATGAGAGTTGGACAATGAATAAGGATAACAGTAGAATTGATGCCTTTGAGTTGTGTTGGAGAAGAGTATCTGAATATTCCGTGGTTTGCAAAAAAACAAAACCAAAAAAACCAAATAGATATGCCTTGGAAAAAGTGAAGTCAAAGCTCTCCTTGGAGGCAAGGATGGTGAAACTTCCCTTCACATATTTGGGGTATGTTTCTAGGAGAATCTATTCCTTGGAAAGAGATATGATTCTTGGAAAGGTAGAGAGAGGGTCAGCAAAAGAGGGGAAGATCCTCAATGAGATGGATCAACACAGTGACTGCAGTAATGGGTTCGAGTATGTCAGAGATGATGAGGATGGCATGAGATAGGACGTGGTTCAGACTTGCTGTTCACAGGGTTGTTATGAGTCGTACTCAACTCAATGGCACCTAAAAACAACACGACTACATTATAGTTAGTGCAGGCTTCAGATTCTCTTTGGACATCTATTTTAATCTTTTATTGTTTTTCCTGTCTTTGTTCCTTTTGCTTTCTTCATGGATGATGTCCTCCTACAGCTCATCTTGTCTATAGTCATTAGTGTTCAGTGCATCAAATTTATTCTCAAGAGGGTTTTTAAATTCCTTTGAGATAGACTCAAAGTCATATTTTGGTTCTCATGGACTTGCTGTGTTCAGGTACCAGAAAAGGTCTTGTTTGGCTTCTGGATTTTCTCCTAAAAATAGCTCACTTTGGTGTTCTAGATAGTGGATTCATTAGACTTCATAATTTCTTGGAGTTAGTTCTTTAAATTTTTATTTCATTAGCCTTTTCAGTGGTTGTGTATTTAATTTTTATATTAAATTTAGTATTACTTGATATACTTTGGTTTGTTTTTAGTATTTTGACTGATTCTTGACTAAGTCCAATTCTCTGAAGCCCAGCTTCTATTTTCTTAAAGATCAGTTGTTATAAAAGATTCTATTATAAGCTGTATCTTAAACAATTTTTGTCATTGATCACGTAGCCCTGAAATATTCCCTTTAAACCTATTGCTACAATCCCTCACAACATTCATCTTATTATGAGCACAGTGTGAGGAAAATAGATTCCTTCAGGGGAATGAAAGTTTGTGGAGAACAGAAGGGACAAGCCTGACTAAAAAATAAAAATAATGTAGATCAAGGAAAGTATGACTGGTCCTTCTATATTTCTGTTTGCATTTATATTCTGTTTAGATCTCAGGTAGAATTGTTGTTAGGTGATTTTCAGTCAAGTACAACATAGTGACCCAGTGAACAATAGAGCTGAACTCCATTCTATTCTGTACCATCCTCATAATTTCTGACATACTTGAGTCTGAAGTCTTTGTGCTAATTCATCTGGTGAAGGATCTTCCTATTTCTTTCCAAACATGATGTCCCTCTACAAGGAATAGCCTCTTCTAACAACATACCCAACTATGTGAGATAAAACTTTATCATCTTTCTTTACAAGGAGCTCTCTGACTGTACTTTCTCAAAGATATATCTGTTCTCAGGAGTCCATGTGATACTCAGAGCTCTTCTCCAACACTGATAAGCAACATCTTGATAGATGGAGGAAAGATTTAAATTGCCATTGATTTCATTATACTTGGATCCACAACCAACACCTTTGGGGCCACCAGTCAGATTCTCCCACATCACAGGAAAGGCACCAATTCTTCTGTCATCCTTATTCATTGTCCAGTTGAAAAGACCATGGCTTGAATCAGATATGCCTTAGTCCTAAAACTGATAACATTACTTCTCAAAAAATTTGAAGAGGTACCTGACTGCAGGCTTTCCTAGTGCAATGCATGTTCTGATCTTCTGAATGCTGGTACCAAGAGTGTTGATTGTGGATGCAAATAAGATGAAGTTGTTGACAGTTTCAAGCTTTTATTCATCCATTAAAATGTTGCCTATCAGTTCAATACCCATGTGGTGATAAAGAGTAAATACTAGAACCTTCTGTTCTATTTAATGTAAAGCAAACAAAAAAATAAGCAACATCAGGATAAAGAGATAAAAGATTGATGCTGTCAAGGAGATTTAATTTTATGTAGATCCTCAATAAACATTCATGTAAACAGCAGCAAGGGAATCAAATGAGAAATTTCAAATGGCAAATCTGTGCCGTTACTTTTCAACTAACTTGCAGAAGTTAGACAATGAATAAAGAAAATGAGAAAAAAATTGATTCCATTTCCTGATGGTTTGTGAGCTCTCTGAGACAATTCAATGAATCAAAGAGCCCAAAAATCAGAGTGGGAGTACTTAGGGGAGCAAGGGTTGATGTTATAGATGGTGATGTGGTAACACAGTTTAGAAATGTTGAATATTTGGAACATATTTTAACCTCTACTTCAGAGGAACTAGCTTTGTGCGAATCCTTACAAAAGATATTATGTATACATAGTTGTTGTTGATTGCCTTCAAGTTGAACACAACTCATAATAACCCTATGGACAAAAAGTCTGAAGCCCCTCTACAACTATCGACATTTATCAAAGTTCATAGAGTTTCTGGAGGCATGTTGTTTAGGAAGTGGATGCCACTCCTGTATATATAATCATTGACTCATAAGAAAAAATTTCTAATTAAGGAACTAATGGTAAAAACTAATTATTCTCAAGAATATCATATTATGCAGTTTCCATGTAGGACCATGTACTATGGGGGGAATAAACTTATGAATATACTAGTATTTTTGTTTATTTACAAGGCAGCATCTTATGGATAACAGATATTTTAGATGCAGCGTCAGAAATGAAGATATAGGTCTGATTTTGGGGAGGAGACAGGAAAACATCTGTGTTTAGGATTGCCCACAAGAGGGTGCATCTTTCTAACACACGTATGCTTCCTGCTTATTTTATGAAGGTCACATTGAGCCTTTTACTGTAAATTTAACCTATCCTCGCACTAAGACTCAAGAGCAACAGAGGTTTTAAAGATGAATGTTTCTCCAAGATCAGTGATTATTATATTCTTACTATTTGGTAAGTAGAATGAAACTTAAATCTCTGAGACTTTTATTCTATTATTTCAGTATAGTATCTAATAGTGATTGTCCTATATATTCTAGAATTTTTCTATTAATTAATGAACCTTTCTAGCAATTTTTCTAGAACCACCTTATACCCCTGGTAACATAAAAATGTTATATTTTTCAGGTAGAAGCAATGGAGACTCAGTGACCCAGACAGAAGGCCAAATAGCCCTCTTTGAAGGGACTTTTCTGACTGTGAACTGTTCCTACACTACCACACAGTACCCTGCCCTTTTCTGGTATGTCCAATATGCTAACAAAGGTCTACAGCTTCTCCTGAAAGCCACAGTAGCCAAAGACAAGGGAAGTTACAAAGGATTTGAAGCCACATACGATAAAGAAACATCTTCTTTCCACTTGGAGAAAGCCTCAGTGCAAGAGTCAGACTCAGCTGTGTACTACTGTGCTCTGAGCGACACAGTGATGGGAACTGCAGGGGGAGCTGCGCGCAAACCCTAGCAGCACAGGTGGGACAGGTGGCTGAGTCTCTGATGCACCCCAATTTAGGGACCAGGGGCTAGTATATTATTGCTGAAAATGAAGCTTGAACATTGCTGTCAACTACCACCCAATGAGGTACTCAAGTTGGTGTGAAGTCTAGCCAAATTCACAGAAGAACAATTTATAAACATATCTACAGACAATGCTTCAGTGATATGTTTTTGTTGTCACTAGGTGCCGTCCAGCTGAATACAACTCATAGAGACCCTACAAAAAGTATATCTGAAAACAGTCTTACCCTGTGCCATCTTCACAATCTCTGACACACTCAAGCTCAGTGAGTACTGTGCAAGTACTGTGTCAATCCATTTGATTAAGAGTCTTCCTCTTGTTTGTTGTTCTGCAACTTTTCCAAACATGACGTCCTTCTCCAAGGCTCCAAGGCATAACCTGTCCTACCAACATGCCCTAAGTATGTGAGATGAAGCTTTATCATCTTTGTCTCCAAGGAACACTTTGGCTACACTTTCTTTGAGATATATCTGTTTATTCCTTTGGTAGTACACGGGCTATTCACTACTCCTCTTCAACACCACAACTCAAAGGCGTCAATTCTTTTTCTGTCATCCTTATTCATTGTCCAGCTCCCAGATATGTAACAAGTGATTACAAAAACCATAGCAAAAATCAGGTAACTTTAGTCCTTGAAGTGACATCATCGATCTTCAATACTGGAGAGGCCCCTGACTACAGAGTAAAAGCCAACTTTGTCCCCAATTCCTCAACTAGAATTTGTGATTCTGAATATAATAGATAAAAAAAGTTATATGCTATTATAGTCTCCTGATCTTGTCTCAACTCACCCAAGGAAACATTGTTCAGGGGCATATCCAGAGCAAATAAATTTGCATACACTGTTAACCTGAAGATTTTAGAGTGCATCATTCCTGCTAAGCCCCAAGTCAGCAAACTGAAACCTAAGTTTCTATTTCTTGAAAGTTCATAACCTTCTCTGAATTGGAAACATAAAGCAACCAATTAGGCTTTCCCCAATCACTTTAATTTAGTTAGGAATTTCTCTTAAGTCCTAAATAAGAAGAATGTCTGCCATCTTCTCTAGGAGGGAAAAAAAAAGGATACTCCAAAGTCAAACATATTCTGTAGAGGACTTTCTATGGATACATAAACAAGACTAAGACTAGAAAAAGACAAAATTATTCCCAAATGAATGAAATTATGAGCATGAAGCTGAAGGGATTTAACACATCACAGTCATGACTTTCATTGATATAATTTGGAGACAAAATCATCAATAAATCATAATTGGTGGCAATTGTGATCCATCATGTTTATGATACTACAAGAACACAACAATTGATTGCTGTCAAGTCAGAACTGCTCACCCTCCAGCAGGTTTTCAGAAGCTATTAATTGAACAGTAGGAGATTGTCCATCTTTCTCCTGCAGATCAGCAGGTGGATTTGCATTGCTTCACTTTAGGTTGGCAGGACAACTCCTTAACCACGATGCCACCAGATATTATTGTTGTTGCATATCTGCAAATTTGGACCAACTCATCACTGACCCTTCAGCAGGTTTTCAAAAGTAGTAAAAGTAATGTTCCAGAAAATGCAGTCAAATGCCATCAGAGCAGCTAGTGGGCAAAGGACCAAGATTCTTATACTATTACAGCTTGAAATGTTTTACAGAATTTGTTCTATGTCTTTGGCTACATGGTGGTTGGAGCTGTGATTCATGGTCTTTCAGTTATTTTTAGTAAGTTATTAAGGACACACACCAGGTCAATTCCCAGATTACATACAGATTTCAAGGGTGAATTTCCCTCTCTGGATTTGCCTAATAATTGTAATCCACTTTCAATTATACTCTTCCAGAGAGCCAACTGCCATTTCCTAGTCTTTTCAAGTCTCACTAAGCATAGTATCACAGTTAATGATAAAAATTAAATTCTGAATTTACATCAAGAAATATAGATGTTCACAAACTAATTGCTTCTGAATTAAATTCTAATACACATCCAAACTTCAATTGTTCACTGTGGCTTCCTTGTTGCGTTGTGAACTTTTGTCTATAAAGACCCTTCTGCTTTGTATCCTTCTTGGGAGTTTCTACTTTTAGAACAGATGCTGTCCTGTTTCTGTCCCACTTATTTCTAAATAAAATCAATATGTTTGAGCAAATTTGACCCTTGCTATAATTTTCTTTTCACAATGTTTAATATCTACTTGACAAGCTGAGCAAGAAGAAGTGATTTCCTTGTGAAACTTCAAATAGTAAGTTTTTAAAGGTAGAAATAAATAAAAGAAAGGAGTTAGACACAAGACCACATATTTATAAAGAGAGAATTGAGATTTTCATTTGCTTCTTAATTAAACCAGTTTTGCTGGCACAGTGGTTAATTGTTCCATTGCTAACTGAAAGGTTGGAAGATTGAATGCACCCACTTCTTTAGGGAGAAAGATAGAATACTTGGCTTCTATAAAAGACCACAGCCTTGGGAACTTATGGGGCAGGTCTTCTCTGTCCTATAGAACCACTGTAAGGCACTATAATTTATTCACCATGTGGATAATAACAAATTATGGATTACATTTCAAAGAATCGGGATTCCAGAACCTTTAACTATGCTTTTGTGGGACCTGAATATAGACCAAGAGTTGATCTTTCTAGAAAAGCAAAGCATTTCACTTAGTTTCATATCAGGAGAGAGATATAAGTTAGGCATATAATTTTTCTATACTTGATCAATTCGGACTGTGAACCAAAAAATCTGAGAAGCTGTGGTATGTGAAAAAAGAATGCAGCATAAATGTTGGAGGAAGACACATTAACAACATGCTCAGTGGTGGTCTAGTCCATAGGGAGTTGTGCTTCTCTGTCAGTTCAAATCCATCACAGGCTCTGAATGAAAAGATAGACAATCTTTTCCCATGTAACTTACAGCCTCAGAACCCAATAGAAGATAAGCAATGAGTTGGTTATGACTCAACAACAATGAGTTTGAGTTTTGAGAGACAAGTGGATGACACAATCTTCTTGTGGAAAAAGAAGAAGACGTGGAGCCCCTGTTGATGAAGAAGAAAGATCATATTGCCTTGAGATCAGATTACCTCTTACTATAAAGAGAAGTAAAACAAAAGGAAGAGATGCTGAAGTAAAAGAGGTGAACAGAAGATTTCAAAGGGCAGCTCAAGAAGATTAAGCAGCACACTATAGCAGAATGTGTAAAGGGTTAGAATTAGAGAATAAAAAAAAGGAAAGAACTCAGCATTTTTCAAGCTGAAAGAACTGCAAAAAAATAAGAAAAGAAAATTAAGAGAATACCAAGAGATGATATGGGCACACTCTTGAATGATGCAGGAAGCTTCAAAAGAAGCTGGAGGGTATTCACTGAGTCACTATATAAAAAAGAATTGGTTGACACTGAAATATTTCCATAAGTAACATATGAATAAGGGCCAATGGTAACGAAGGAAAAAGTTAGCACTTAAAGCATTGGCAATAAAATAAAGCACTGGCAAAAAAACCCAAAAGGCCACAGGAATTAATGGGATACCAATTGACATGTTTCAACTAAATGCAGCCCTGGACATGATCACCAGTCTATGCCAGGGAATTTGGAGAAGAGTCACTGGAAGAGATCCATATTTGTTTCCATTATTAAGTGATCTGACAGAATGTGGGAATTATCAAATAATACCACTAATATAAACCACAAGCAAAATACCGTAAGGATCATAAAAAAACGGTTAAAACAGTACATTGAGAGAGAACTATCAGAAGTTCAAGCTGGGTTTACAAGAGGCTGTGGCACCAAGAATGTCATTGCTGATGTCATATGGATTCTGGCTGAAAGAAGAAAATACCAGAAGACTATGCAAAGCATCTGGCTGTGTGCATCATAGCCAATTATAGCTAATACCGAGGAGAATAGGAATCCCAGAATACTTAATTATGCTTCTATGCAATATTTACCTAGATCAAGAAGCTGTTGTCCAAAAAAAGCAAAGGAACACTGGATGGTTTAAAATCAGGAAAGGTGTACATCAGCATTGTATTCTTTGTCCATACCTATTCAATCTATAAGCTGAGGAAACAAACATTCATGAAGCTGGACTCTATGAAGAAGAATACGGTCTCAAGGAAGACACATCAACAACCTGTAGTATGCAGATGACACAAACTTGCTTGCTGAAAGTAAAAAGGACTCGAAGGGCTTGCTGCAGAAGATAAGGCTACAGCCTTTAATATGGATTACATCTCAACATCAAGAAGACAAAAGTCCCACCATTGACTGATAGGCAACATAATGATAGATACAGGAAAGACTGAAATTGTCAATGATTTCATCTTACTAGGATCCACAGTCAAGACCCTTGCCTTGGGAAAGTGTGCAGTCAAGAACCTCCCCAAATTTTTTAGGAACAATGATGTCAGTTTGAAAGTGTGCTTGCAGGATATGAACAGACACTTCACCAAGGAAGACATTCAGATGGCCAACAAGCACATGAAGAAATGTTCAAAATCCATAGCTCTGAGAGAGATGCAAATCATGACAACTATGAAATATCATCTCACCCCAGTAAGACTAGCAAAATTTAACAGAACAACAAGCAAAAAATGCTGGCGAGGTTGTGGAGAGACTGGAACCCTTATTCACTGTTGGTGAGAGTATAAAATGGTGCAACCACTGTGGAAAGCAATGTGACGCTTTCTTAAAAAGTTGCAAATAGAGATACCATTTGACCCAGCAATTCCACTACTGGGAATATACCCTAAAGAGACCATAAATGGCACCCAAGTAGATATATGCATACCCATGTTTATTGCGGCTTTGTTTACAATAGCAAGGAGTTGGAAACAACCCAAATGCCCATCAACAAACGAGTGGGTAGAGAAGCTGTGGTATATTCGCACAATGGAATATTATGCTGCATTGAAAAATAAGGAACTCATGCAATATTATTCAAAATGGGTGACCCTGGAGGACATTATGCTGAGTGAGGTATCTCAGTCACAGAGGGACAAATGCTATATGGTGCCTCTGTTGTAGAATGAGGCTGACATCGGGATGGGGGTAAGACTGAGAAGAAAAACTGGATGAAATATGTTTATGGCATTGAAGTCTTTGGGGGAGAGAATATTTTATATTTTAGGGCATTATGTTTATCGTAAGACTACGGAATGAGGGTTGCAGGGTGGATTGTATTTGGGGGTTGGGGGATGTGTGTGGGGGATTGCGTTACCAATGAGGGAGTTTTTCTTTTGCGTTTGAAGGAGAGGAGCAAACGGGGAGGGGGCGGGGAGAGGGGTGCAACAATGAATGAATGGAATTCCAAAATCTCTGTAGATGTTCATTGAAATGAAAAATAAAGAAATTTAAAAAAAAAGAAAGTGTGCTTGATTCAGGGCATGGTCTTTTCAATCACTTGCTGTGCATCTGAAATCTGGACAATAAATAAGGATGACAAAAGAATTGATGCCTTTGAGTTGTAGTATTACAGAAGATTACTGAATATCCCATGGATTGCCAAAAGAACAAGCAGATAAATCTTAAATAAAGTATAGCCAGTGCTCCTCAGAGACAAAATGACAAAGCTTCCATGCACATACTTTGGGCATATTTTTAGGACAAGTTATTCCTTGGAAAGGTACATCAAGCTTGGAAAGGCGAGGGACCAGTGAAGGGGAGGAAGACCCTTAACCAGAGGGCTTGATACAGTGACTGTAGCATGGGCTTATGTATGTCAGAGGCTAGCATAGGATGAGACTAGCACAGGCTAGAACAAGGTTCAGATCTGTTGTTCATAAGGTTACTCCGAGTTGTACTTGACTCAAAGGCACCTAATAAAAATAAAACATTATAAAAGAAACAAAAACCTCTCACAATTGGATCAATGAGCAAATCATATGTAACCAAGAAAAGATGAAAATTGTTAAGGATTTCATTTTACATGGACTCACAGTCAATGATTAAGGAAGCAGCAGTCATGAAATAAAAATTGCACTAAATAAATCTACTTTAAAAGATCTCTTTAGGGAGCTCTGGTGGCCTAGTGGCAAGACGCTGCACTGCAATCCCAGAAGCACGCGGTTCAAATCCACCAGATGCTTTGCTGGAGAAGGAGGGGGCAATCTCCTCCTGTACCAGTCAGATCTGATTTGATGGTACACATAAAAATAATACAATTAAGAAAAAAAGATATCTTTAAAGTATTAAAAAGCAAAGATGCACCTTGAGGACTAAAGTGTGCCTGACTCCACCACAGTATCTTTAATCACTTCAAATGCAGTGAAACATGGGCAATGAAAAGGAAGACAGAAGAAGAGTAGATGCCTCTGAATTATTGTAATGGTACAGAGTATTGAATGTATTTTTGACAGCCAGAAAAATGAAGAAATCTTTATTGGAATAAATACAGCAAAAATAACCTTAGAAATTAGAATAGTGAGACTTATTGCCCTTTGGAAATAAGGAGGAACCAATATCAGGAGAAACTAATCCCTGGAAAAGGACATCATGCTTGGTCAAGTATAGGGTCAATGAAAAAGAAAAACAATGAGATGGATTGTTATAAAGGCTGCCATAATTTGCTGAAACAACAATGATTGTGGACATGCAAAAGACTAGCTAGTGTTGCACTCTGTTTCTATTAGTCTGATGTGATCCAAGGGCACCTAACCACCACCACCACCACAACAACAATAATACATATTTAGAGTTGGTTTGTGTGGTGTTTTTTTTTAAGTTCTTGAAGGCAGGTGTGCTGTGCTGTACATTTCTTATCACTCAATGCTGTTGACTAAAGTTGCTGTTTTTAGATGCCATCAAGTCAAGCTCAACCCACAGTGACTCTCTGAGCAACAGATCTGAATCTTGTCCTATTCTATGCCATCCTCACCATCTCTGATTCACTTGAGCCCATTGCTGCTGGCACTGTGTCCATCATCTCAATGGGGGTCTTCTTCTCTTTCTCTGAATCTCTACCCTTCCAAGCATGATATCCTCTCCTAAAAAGTAGTCTATCTTGGCAATATGTCTGAAGTATGAGAACTGAAGCTTTGCCATCTGTGATTCCAAGGAGCATTTTGGCTGCACCTTTTCTAAGACACACCTGTTTATTTGACAGTCCATCTGTTATTCAGTACTCTTCTCCAACACCAGTTCAAAGGCACCAATTATCCTTCTGTTATTCTTATATGTTGTCCAACTCTCAGATGAATATCAAGTATTGGAAAAGACCACAGCATGAATCAGGTACATCTTAGTCTTCAGATTGACATCATTGCTCTTTAGTATTTTAGAGAGGTTCCTAACAGTGGACTTGCCCAAAGCAGTATGTTTATTTATCTCCTAACTGCTGACACCAAAGATGTTGATTTGTGGGTCCAAGTAAGAGAAAATGAGTAACAGTTTCAATTCTTTCTCCACCTATTATCAAGATATAGACTTAAATTAGAGGTCCATAAACTAATGTGTGAATATTTAAAGTACTTCTAGAGAAGAAATCATTTAAAGGGGAGCTCTTGTGGCCTAGTGGCAAGGAGCTGCAACTACAATCCCAGAAGCGCACAGTTCGAATCCACCAGATGCTCTGTCGGGGAAGGAGGGACAATCTCCTCCTGTACCAGTCGGATCTGATTTGACGGTACACTCACACAAAAATGATAATAATAATAATAATAAAATAAATCATTTAAGTAATTTTACATTTATACTGTGATTATATGTGTAGTGAAGCGCAATAGTTCCTGAACATGATGAAAAGCTATTTTTGGTCCTGAATGGGAATAAAATGCTTGAATTGTATTTTAATATGTATTAATAGTTAGAATGAAGACCTTATGATACCATATTCTTTACCATTTTTGTTTGGAAAGTAACAATTCCTTTTCCTATATGAGATGAAGATTATCTTAGATTGAAGCATAAGTTGTTATTGTTGTTATGTGCCGTCGAGTCATTTGCGACTCAAAGCGACCCTATGTACAACAGCCCTAAACCGTGCTCTATCCTGTGCCAATCTCATTGCCCTTGAACACACCCATCCCGAGTACGCCAGTCACTGAATAAATCCATCTCATAGAGGGTCTTCCCCTCCTGCGCTGTCCCCCTACTCTACCCAGCATGATGTCCCTCTCTAAAGACCTGTCTCTCCTTACAACATGTCCAAAGTATGTCAGGCGAAGCCCCAGAATCCTTGCCTCCAAGGAGCAGCCTGGTTTAATCCTCTCTACGATGAATCTGTTTGTTTTCTTGGCAGTCCATGGTACATTCAATACTCTTCTCCAGCACCACAGCTCAAAGGCGTCAATTCTCGTTCTATCCTCCCTAGTCATTGTCCAGCTCTCTGATGCATAACAAGTGATTGCAAAAACCATGGCCTGTATCAGGCGGACCTTACTCTCCAGAGAGACACTGTTGCTCTTGAGTATTTTGGAGAGGTCCCTAACCACAGACTTTCCCATCGCAATACGTTTTTTCGCCAAGAGTGTTGACCGTGGAGCCAAGCAAACTGAAGCTGTGAACAATCTCAATCTCTTCACCATCCATCCTGATGTTACCGATTGGTCCAGTGGTGAGAATTTTTGTCTTCTTGACATTGAGCCTCAGTCCATATTGAAAGCTGCAGTCCTTGACCCTCTGCAGCAAGTGCATGAGGTCCTCCTCAGTTTCAGCGAGCAAGGTTGTGTCATCTCATAACGCAGATTGTTGATAGATCTTCCACCAATCCTAACGCCACGCTTCTCCTCATAGAGCCCCGCCTCTCGGATGATCTGCTCTGCATACAGGTTGAAAAGGTATGGAGATAGGACACATCCCTGGCGTACACCCTTCCCAATTTTGAACCATGCAGTGTTGCCCTGCTCTGTTCTGACGACTGCCTCTTGGTCCAAGTATAGGTTTCACATTAGCACAATTAAATGTTCTGGGATTCCCATTCTTCTCAGAGTCAGCCACAGTTTGTTACGATCCACGCAGTCAAATGCCTTTGCATAATCAATGAAACACAGATAGACATTCTTCTGGTATTCTCTGCTTTCAGCTAAGATTCATCTAACATCAGCTGTAATATCCCTAGTACCACGACCCCTTCTAAACCCAGCCTGGACTTCTGGCAGTAAACAACGTAAATGTTAGTTTCAACATTTGGCTGAGCTTGTTATATATTGTTTAATATAGGATGTAAACAGAGTTTGTTTATTACCTCTTTCGCTCTAGTGTGCCTCCCGTGTTACTGCTACCCTGTCTATCCTTTCTCTGGTATTTGCCTATTTGCTAAAAGAGCAAAGTCAAGAGAGTGAAAATGCCATCATAGTTTTAGAAAAAAAGAACATGCAAGTTTTATTTTATTTTGGAAAATAGAATGAACACACAAATCAACTCTTTGGGATCTCTGGATTCTTATTCTAGGTCTGGCCTCTAGAGGGCGATACTGCTTAAATACAGTGTCTTATTTTTGTTGGAAAATCTCCATCATTGACTTAGCTCCTCCTCCCTGTCACTCACTGAAGAATTCTAACTAAATATTAAACAGAGTGTGACAAGAAATAAGGGTTAGAAGTCTTCCAGGCTCATCTCAGAAGTTTTACTATTTTTATCTAAGCAAAATATTAGTCCAATTTCACCTCCCCACAGCTCCACAACCACGAAGAAGAGCTCATACACCGTTTAGGAAAGAAGTTGTTTCCACTGCTGAACCATGCTCCTGTTGCTCATGCAAGTGCTGGGGATAATTTTTGCCCTGAGTGAGTAAAATTTCATTATTTATAGTTCCATAGATTATTAATGGAAACATTTCCCCCCCCTTAGTCTTGTTTGCACTACTTTCACTGTAATAACATTGATTTTGTAGGAGAAACCAGAGCCCAGTCAGTGACCCAGCTGGACATCGAAGTCTCTGTGTTTGAAGGGTCCTCACTGGAAATGAGGTGCAACTACTCCTATGGTGCAACACCTTACCTCTTCTGGTATGTCCAGTACCCTAGGCAAGGCCTCCAGCTTCTCCTCAAGTACTTCTCAGGGGAAACCCTGGTCAAAGGCATCAATGGTTTTGAGGCTGAATTTAAGAAAAGTGAATCTTCCTTCAACCTGAGGAAACGCTCTGCTGGCTGGAGCGACTCTGCTGAGTACTTCTGTGCTGTGAGTGACACAGTGCTGGGAACTGCAGGGGGAGCTGAACACAAACTTCCTGAGACAGACAGGGAGACTAGTGCAAACATGAACTTCTCTTAGTCCTTGAAATAGCTAAATCTGAAAGGTTTTGAATTCCACTATGTAGGGAGGCATCACAGTATTCATGCAACAGTGGACACAAGTGTACAGAGACTTGGTTAGCAGTATGAGGTTGAAAAACATGAAAAAGTTATGTATAGGAGTTGTGATGTGACACAGGAGAGTTTTGGTTTTCACTCATTAACTACATTCCCAAAAGTGAGATAATATTGTATGTTTCTCTTTTTCTTGCAAATATACAGTGTTTCTCAACTTCATAATATTGAAATGGTTTCCCTCTAATCCTTTTTTCCTGTTGGTAATGTGCTGATTGTTTCCCCTCACTTTTTTTTGTTTTGTTAGATGCTGCTGAGTCAAGTATGATTCATGGTGACCCTATGAATAATAGACCTGAACCTTGTTCTATCCTGTGCCATACTCATTATCTCTGACATCCTTGAGCTCATTGTTAGAGTCACTGAGTGAAATCCATCTCATGAGAGTCTTCCTCACTTTCCCTGACTCTCTGCCTTTCCAAACACGATGCTTGCACAGTGACTGTGACAATGGATTCAACTATGTCAGAGATAACGTAGTCTTGTTGAGCGTTTTCTACTGTTTTTCTGACCCTCCACCTTTCTAAGAATGGTATTTTTTAAATGCTCCAATTTAGAAGAGAGATTCTTAGGATGGTGAATACCTACAATACTCATCACAATAGCTAAACACAAGATTAAATAGTTGGGAACAAATCTAACTAGAAACACAAAAATGCCTATTCAAAGAAAATTACAAAACATTACTACAAGAAACAAAAAGAGACATGGAGAAATGGAAGAATATCCCTTGCTCATGGATAAAAGACTCAATATTGTGAAAATGACAATTCAACTAAAAGCAATCCACAAATTCAATACAATCCCAATACAAACACTAATCCCATTCTTTAACGAGATGGAAAAGGCAATTTACAATTTCACCTGAGATGGAAAGAGACTCCAAATAAGTGAAGCACTCCTGAAAAAGGGAAATAAGATAGGATGCGTCTCACTCCCTGATCTCAAATCCTACTACTTGGTGGTCAAGACAGCATGGTGCTGGTACAGTGACAGACAGACAGATCAATGGAATAGAATTGACAACCCAGAAGTCAGCTCATCTACCTATGGTTAACTGATTTTTGACAAGGAGAGGAAATCAGATAAGTGGGGAAATGAAAGCCTCTTTAATAAATGGTGTTGGCAAAAATATCTGCAGAAAACTTAAGCAAGGCCTACACCTCACACCATACACAAAAACTAACTCAAAGTGGATCACAGGCCTAGGAGTAAAACCAAGGACAATAAACTTCATCAGAGAAAAGCTTGGAAGAACTCTAGAAGCCCTAATCCACAATATGGACAGTCTTCTAAGCATCTTGAAAAACCTACAACCTTGAAAGAATAAAATAGATGAACAGGACCTTCTAAGAATCAAATCCATGTTCACATCAAAAATATCTTCTCCAACAGGATAAGAAGGAAGCCCACAGACTGGGGGGAAATATTTGGTAATGACACATCTCATAAGGGTCTCATACCTAAAAATTATAGATTAGTCCAGTACCTCAACAAGAAAAAGGTAAAACAACCTAATTGCAAAATGGACATAGGCTATGAATAGACACTTAACCAAAGAAGACATTTAGATGGGAAACAAATACATGAGGAAATGTTCAATATCCCTAGCTCTCAGAGAGATGCAAATAAAAACAACTATATCATCTCACCCCAAAAATAATAGCAAAGTTCAACAGAGCAGCAAACAATAAATGCTGGCAAGATTTTGGAGAGATTGTAAACTTTATTCACTGTTGGTGGGAGTGTAAAATGGTGCAACCATTATGAAAGACTGTATGTTGCTTTTTAAAAAAGTTAGAAATAGAAATACCATTTGACCCAGCACTTTCATGATCAGGAATAAATCCTAAAGAAACCGGAGCTGCCATCCTAACAGACACATGAACACTTATGTTTATTGCCATGTTATTCACAATAGCAAAAGATGGAAGCAACCCAAGTGCCCATCAACAAATGAATGGATAGAAAAATGATGGTATATTCACACAATGGAATACTACGCAGCACTGAAATGCAGGAACTCATACAATATTACACAACATGGGTGACCTTGGAGGGCATTATGCTGAGTGAAATATCTCAGTCACAAAAGGACAAATACTACATAAAACCAATGTTAGAAACCAGGACTGACAAGGAGGTTGGGGAGAAACTAAGAAAAGAGGGTATGAATAATGAATACTGTATTGGAACAGACGAAGAAGAATTGTTTAAAAGGAATATATAATTAGGTATTATTTGTCTGACAACAGTCCAGAATAGCAAAGTGTACTGGGGGGAAAGGTGCGAGAAAGGGAGGAAATTATGCAAAAATGAATGATTTTATTTTTTTTTTAAGTGGAGAAGTAAGGAGGAAAATGTGCAATGATGAATGAATGAAACTGCAACTTTTCTGTAAACTTTCATTAAAATCACAGTAAAAAAAAAAAAGAACCACACTATGTTTATGTGAGTTTAAGTAAATGTTAAACATTTAGCAAGAGGAATAAATGATTTAAAAATTCTTAGTATTTCTTTAAGAACTGTTATAGAGAAAAGATACACTAATTTTTGACAATTTATGTGAAAGCAAAAAGTATATTTTGTTTCTCCTAATGATAGAAATTATCTCCTGAGTCTGGGCGCTTTAATGCATAGTTATGTTGCTAACCCAAAGGTTGCACTTCTCTGACAGTTCAAATCCACCAGCCTCTGGGAGAAAAAGGAGCAGTCCCCTCTCATGGACTTTACTACTCATTAATAACTTGTCATATGCAGGTTACACAGTCTTGCTGCTGAAAATAAAGAGGACTTGAAGCACTCGTTGAATAGATTATCCTTCAATTTAAAGAAAAAAACACTTTAAACAACTGGACCTATGAACAAATAATACTTAACTGAGAAAAGATTAAAATTATTAAAGATTTAATTTTACTTGGACTCACAATTAATGCCTCTAAAAGTTGTTGTTGTTAGGTGTCACTGAGTCCACTATAACTTATGTTGTTATTGTTGTTGTTACATGTCGTCAAGTCATAGCAACCCTATATACAACAGCCCTAAATCCTGATCTATCCTGTGCCAATCTTATTGTCTCTGACACATCTACCCCCATTACCCCAGTCACTGAATCAATCCATCTCATAGGGGTTCTTCCTCCCTGTGCTGTCACTCCACCCTCCCAAGCATGACATCCCTCCCCAAGGACTGGTTTCTGCTCCTGATCCTTTAAACAACAGATCTGAACTTTGCCCTATCCTGAATCATGTTCATTGTAATCACTGTGCCAATCCATGTCATTGAGGCTCTTCTATTTCAATGACTCTATGATGTTTTTTCCCCAGTATGTTGTGTTTTCCAAGGACTGATCTCTCATGGCATCATGCCCAAAATATGTGAGATGAAATTTCACCATTCTTGCTTCTATTTTCATAGAAGTATGGCTATTGTCAGGTATCATCAAGTTGACCACAATTCTTAGCACCTTTATAAACAACAGATCTGAACAACCTCCATGGTCTTTGATATGCTCAAGCCCATTGTTACAATCATGGAGTCAATCCATCTTATTGAGAGTCTGTCTGCTTTCTTTCTCTGACCCTGCACACTTCCCAGTCTGATGTCTTTTCCCAACAACTTATCTTCTGATAATATGCCCAAAGTATGTGAAACTAAGTTTCCCTATCCTTGTCTACTCTTGGTTGCACTTCTTCCAAGATTGACTTATTTGTACTTTTGACAGTAGAATCCATAGAAGAGGCAGTCAAGAAATTAAGAAATCTTTAGGGGGAACCAAGATGGTGGTGGCAGAGGAAGCAATATATTGCAGGAGCAGCAAGCTGCGTTGAAATGGGCCACCATGGCTCTCCACAGTCCTGTTTATCTATAATTGAACAATTAAACAGTTATTGATCTTCAATATGGATCGAGGCTCAATATCAAGAGAACAAATTAAAACAGACATTCGGATGGCGGGGAAGAAGAACAAACTGGGAAGGAGGGTGGAGAGAATGGTGCGACAATGAAGGAGTGAAAGCCCAGAATCCCTGTGAATGTTCATTGAAACTAATAAAATTTAATAATGATAATAATAAAACAAAAAACAAACAAACAAACAAACAAACAAAAAAGAACAGCAATAAAATACTGTGTCTATAAAAAAAAAAACAAACCAAAACAAAAAACAAAAAAAAAGATTCTCAAAAATGAATTCATGGGTCCCACGGTTCCCAGCACCCTCTGCCAAGCCCACGCTGCCGCCACAGCTTCACGGGGATAGCTGTTCAGCTCCTGGGGTCAGCCAGGAGCCCTTCAGCCCCTGGGGTGTGCCACCCAGCCCCTGGGGAGGCCCTCGCGGTATGCTGCTTGGCCCCCAGGGAGAGACGTTCAACGTTCAACCCTCGAGGTGAGCTGTTGGCCAACCCAAGTGTGTGCTGTCAGGGCCCTGGAAAGAGCCTTCAGGTTGCTGGGGAAAACTGCCTATGGTATACAAAGAATTTTATCTAAGCCATTTTCCTCCAACTCTCACTCAGTACACCTGTAAGTAACACGTTCAAAGCCCTTCTATTTGTAACTCACAAGTTTGTTCTCTCTAGGTTCCCTCCCTTTCCTATGTTGTTGTGTTGTTAAGTGCCGTTGAGTTGCAGACGACTCATAGTGACCCTAGGAACGAAAGTCCTCAACACTTGCGAGCGTGATTTTTATCCTTTCTTCAGGTTCATAGGGCTCCCCTTTACCCTTCACATCAGCACCCCTGTTCAGCATGAAGAAGCCAGAGTCTGTGCCCCATTCCCAAATGAGAAACCTACAAGTGAATATGACAATTTCTTTGTTAAAATAAATAAATAAAAAATTAATCACCACTGGACTATGCTCACCATTGTCTTGTCGTTTCTGGTCCCTGCTGAATCTTTCTCATTTCCT